CGTCGTTTTTCAAACTGATTTGGGGGGTTCTCTTGTTTTTGTATACTGAAATACTTCTTCTATCTTTTCTCAATTTTTCTGTAATCTGAATCCTCTGTAATTTTTAAAAGTAATATTTCTTTTTTGATTTTGCTGTATTTGCAGTACTTAAAATATCTTATCATAAGTTGTGGACTGATATTCGTCATAGTAGGCTTTTCTACGGGGTTTTTCCGATGATATATCTCCCTAACCATCGGATCCTAGTTTTCGTGGTAGTAATTCGTTGTTTTTTTTAAGGGAGTTAACCAATTTTCGCTAACGAACATTGCATATGTATACAAATATTTTTCGAGCGTTTTTTTTGTACTACTGGCATTGATGATCCTTTCTAATGATCCTTCCCATGATCGATCCTTTACCCACAACCCACTGCCATGGGTTAGCGTCAACTTGGGTTTAAGTAAATAACATGTAATTGAATAAATCTTTTTCGTCTAATTCGTCGTATAACTTGGTACCTTCCATTTAGTTTCGTATGTTTTGTATTTGGGGATTTTCGGCTTTTCTTTCAGAAACCACAACAAATTGTTTGCAAATCTCCTGTTTGTATTATGCCTCAACGGTTCCATACCTAGAATAGTTATGCTTACTCCTGTGCAAACTAAACTTATGCTTCAAAAGACTCACACACCAGACTTCATGCCGCAACTTGTATCATACTCTGAATGTATCCCATTTTCTTTTATCGTTGGTCTTTCTCGTAAACGTCCAACGCTTGGGCATGGTTGGTGGCTAGACGGCGGATCAACATCAATTATCTTCTCAGCCACTCTCCCAATTGTCTCCGATCTCGATCGTTTGTGGTCCCTTTTACCCCCTGAGTCCTGACGACTCAACTTCCCTTTGAAAACATCCCGTCTGGGAAAAAAGAACACCCTGTGTTTACGTAACATATCATATCAATGGTCTCTTTACTAGGAGGACGCGGAACAGCTCCACTTCCACTCGGTTACGTGCTGAGCAGGCTCTCATGCAATGAAGTTAGGTTCTAGTATATTCAGTTTAACTAGTGAGCCAACTCGAAGCTGTAGGAGATGGCAGGACAGCTGCGCTCTCCTTCTTCAGTTTGATCATACGTCGAATGCGATTACAAACGAGTACGGAAGCAAACTTCGAGTAGGACCTTCAGTAGGCTTAGGACGATTAATCCATGCTAGGGAAACTCCATGTCTCCATTTTCCAGCTATGGCCGTGATCGCATTTGAATGTTTATCTGGTATACACAACATTTGGTAGGGTTTCGTCAATGGAAATCGACCACTAATTATACGTTAATCCCTTGAATCCCTTCATGTTTTGCCAACTATCGATCGGAATTGAAAACTTGCTTGGCTTAAGGGAGAACCTAAGGTTCGATCCTCGAACCACATCGGTAGTGAAGGCGCCAGTTGCTTCTATTCCATGTTCGCCCGGTCGTTGAATGTACTGCTAGTATACTGTATGACGAACCTTATACTTTGGCCACATCACCCAAGAATCTGGAAGAGGCCAGCTTTTTTCTGCAATTGCCATTTGCCATTTCTGAAGGGTGGTCTCATTGGTGTTGATCTCATTCTTCTTGACAGCCAATAAATCTTCAGCATACCCCTTTACCTGGGGTTCTATGACATCAACTAGTACTGCACAACTCTGTTCACTTTATTTAGGGACCTTATTGGCAACAAGAAAACAAGTAAATAAGAAACTAATATGGCAGTTGACAGTTGTTTTGAAACTTTCCTCTTGAAAGGGGATATTAGCATCAAAAGCGGGATACGTCAGCGGAGCGGGTGCGGTAGCCCATATGCCGTCTCCCATACACTCACTCATTGCTAATAGCACCGCTATATCCAACTTTCAACGATCGATTTCCATTTTTTTATTTTCTCGTGTAGAAGTCGCACTTTCTCCACCATTTTTTGTGTACTGTTTTTGCATTTCGGCTTATGAGTACTATCTCAACCTAATTTTTTACTTTATTTATCCATTTATTTAGTTTTATTTTATTTTTTACTTTCCTAATCTAGGCGTGTTTTCCATTTTCTTGTCTCTGGTTGGTTAATTGAGTTGGCAAGCAGCCAACAAACAGCCAAGCATGAGCGTTGCATGCGATTCAGCCAATTTGTTCCAGTCAGATGATAGCAAAAGCGTCGAGACCACTTCCTTGAAAATGATGAAATCCTATTTACCAATTCTTTTTGTTGTTGTTTTTAGTCAGCTCAATCGATTGATGAATTTCTAATAACAATTACTGTTTGCTACTGATGTTTGAAGGTTTGATGTTGCTGCTGCTTTACTTACTTGTAATTCCTAGCAGGTTCTAGATAAGCATCGCCATCTAAAAGATATAAAAATTTTTGGATTTATTGGACACTCGGAATCGATCGACTGCGATCTTAAGTGACTTGCTCGTTAAATAGACAAGGCGATTCCTCTATAACGCCAAACCCATATGCTCGATTCTATGCTTTGTGAAATCTGGATTCGGTACAGCCCTTTATACCTCAGGGGTCGGTTCATTTGCCTGGAAGGAGGAAGCGCTGACTTTCACATGGGTCCGCCAGCGCAACACATAGTATCAGTCATGTAGGCATTCAAGTCGTCTCTACGATTGTGACTGGATGTCGAATGCAGGGCGCATTCAGAAACGAATTTGGTTGGCGCCAAAGATTCAATTCTTTCTATCCTTCAAAATAATAATATCTCCTGTGTAGTCGGTTTATTTGGCGCTGTATTCGTGGAATAGAGCTTTTAAGGTTCAGGGAGTAGACCAAGCCAAATGTCCATTCAAATGATCCTGTCCTACTGAGTGGACTCAAGCGCGTGCGTGGCTTATTTCAGAAGTAGTTAATGACACAGCGATTTTTTCCTTCGGGGACCGCTTTGCTTATCACTTTTGACAAAAGATAGTGTCTGGGATAAAAAAAGAAGTATTCTTAAGGTGGTTAACCCATAGAAATCCTAAAATGGAATAGATGGCGCGTCCCAAGTGGAAATGGGTCTACTTCGGGACTTGGATCGACAATTTTTTTTCAACATTTTGGCAAAAACCCATTCTACGAGTCCGACTTGAAAAGAATGTGGGGCTTTTTCGTGCTGATCTGTCAAGTGTTGTTCATCACTCTAAGTTTTGCTGATGTCATTGCTCATTTTGTTGACGTACTAAACAACGTCGAGCAACGTATGGCGTCAGTCGGGTATAATTGGCCAGGTGTTCAGACGAGGATGGCTATTTTTAGTTGATTTTGATGATTCAACTGGAACGGTCGAGAATTTATGAGCTCATTGCATAGTGTGTGTCTAAGCTGACGTATGTTTACTTTCTGTCGGTAATAGTAAGGGCATCAGCCCAAAAAGTAAACATCTTACTATTGTGAAACCGATACCTGCCTTTTTTCAACCATAACCCATAGTATGTCGCACCCGTCATATATTTTATTAATGAAGTGGAATAGTCTTTGACGTTAAACAATCCCAATATGGGATGCTCCCTGCATTCGATTTCCATTCAGAATCGTAGTGGCGTATTGAATGCGTATGTGACTATACAATGACTTGCAGTGGCCAGCCGATGTACAGTTCAGTGCTTTTATCCTCCCAGACGAGTTTGGTACCAATTAACCGACCCCGTAGGAATCGAAGACGTTGACCTGGGCGGAAATCGACCCGGTTTCGAGCTCGTAACCATGCGTGTGTGAAGTGCGCCATTTGCCACTATACCACCTAGCCTTTTGAAAAAATTGTTTAACTACTACATACTTTCAACAGTGGACTGCTACTGTCATTAAGCTCTATCCGTTAGGTTGCTGAGTAGATGATTTCAGCGCTCGTGTACTTATACATACTTTATCGCTATTGCTGTTTTAAATATTTACAACTTGATCATGGATTAACTGTTATCAACATTTCGAGATCATTTTCGACGCTAGAACATTGCACCATCGCTTGGATTTCTCAGTATTACTCATCCTTATCTACGCTCTACTAATGGATGCCATTACTATCGAGTATCTCTTCGAAACTCACTTCCTTCACTTCTTCCATAACCCTCTCGAGCCATTCGTTCCACCCAAGACTTGGGAGGGGATGGTTTATGACCTAGGAGGTAAGTACCGTAAACCATGGCGTCAGTGTTCAATACCGTACATAGTTTTTGCTCTGTTCTACCCTTGTAAATGCGCACCTTTGCACAAGTTTTTCCCGAAATTCCAGTAACTTTATCTATAAACCGGTTTCGTCTATTCTGATTAGCAGCTCTATAAGTTAGATGTCATTTTGAAGGTGGACTATTCGCAGAACGGTTCCTTCTTATGTCGCAGAATGGGGTTATTTTATGATATTTGCTAATAATTTTTGCAGATGCCTTTTTCTGCTCATTCAAAAATGTTATTTTCCTCTTTAGTCCATTCTTATGCTCATACATACCGCTTTGAAATGGTGGCGGGGCACGACATGCGCTTTGCATGAGTGCAGCCGATGCCTAATCGATACGCATCTATTTGTTTTCGTGACTTTTTTCTCCAACTATGAACGCCGCTGAGTCAATGAGCGGCTCAATAAATTCCATTTCTCCCACGATAAACTTTGATGTCCCGATCTATTTGCTTTTCAAGTGCATTTTTTCTTATCAAGGAATGGTTAGGTAAACATATTGATCATACTCTATTGAGGCCTGGTCTAGAATGTTCCATCTCGTTTTCATGACCTTGTGAGCGCTTTTATCGATTTTATTGATTATAATCTAAGATTTCAGTGCGAAAACTTCATTGTACTCAGAAAACTACTCAGAATATCGAATGTTCAATGCAAATGACCCGACATCGAGTACGCCATCAGTGATCTTACTTCTGACGTTGAAAGCAAAGTAAGGGCGGCTTTTCCTAACTGGCACCATTTTTTGCATTTTTTTCGGCAAAAAATGGAATAATGAACTTATAATCTTGTGTCATCATAGTTGTTTATTCTGTTAATAGAGCTTGTTTACATATTTGACTGGAAATTAGTGAATTGTTGTATTAAGGAAGCTTCTCGACAAGGATGTATTCTCAAAAAGCGATCCTATGTGTGTTGTATCGCAGTTTGTCGGACGACTTACTGGTATGCATTCTTTATTTACTTGATTGAGTTCTTCCTTCCAAAATCATCGATCGAAGGACATGTTATATCAAAAAGTTTAGTTTGCCACAACATTTATGACTCTGAGCGAGCCTATGGCCCGTATGTCAATGTGAGTGAGAAACCGCTTCAACAATCGGGGGCAATTTTCTGAGAAAGCCGCGCACATGGCGCATCTCAAAAACGCGATCAATTAACGTCGGAAGCAGTATTACGTCTTTTTGTTGTTCTTACATAATAGAGTAGAACTGGAAACGCATTCGTTGCATTCAATTACCTCTAAATTCCCAGAAAACGGGAAACACACGTCTACATCTACAGGGAAAGCCGAATACGTGGCGCATTCTAGATGGATAGGCCACCACAGGCTTCCAAATTCATCTTATAACTGTCGTTAATCCTTCGCGGCTCCTCATGGTGGCGTTCCCTTGTAATACGACGAATTGAAATTATATCATTACTATAGTTGTTGTGTACGTAGAATAAATAATAAAGTAAGCAAGTAAACATAGTTTTTCAGGAAAGGGAAAATGGTTAGAATGTGGTCGTACCGAGTGTGTGAAGAACACATTGGATCCCGAATGGGCATCTCAGATCCGAATCGAATACTTTTTTGAAGAACGACAAACAATGCGATTCGAAATGTAATCAGTGGGACATATCTCGTGTTCACTTTTTTCCTCGTCAATTACTCCTATTTTTACTTTATTATTTTTCATTATTTATTTATTTTGTTCAATTTCAATCTTCTTTTTTTTCTTGCAACCTTTCTGGTGTTTTATGAAAGATTTCCATTCCAGTTACGATATCGATGCACCTACCAGTGAACTATCCGCTCATGACTTTCTTGGACGTATGGAATGTGAACTGGCAGAAATTGTAGCGAATCGGCCGTTTACAAAAGCGCTCAGGTTTCTTTCAATCTTCGTTCTGTGAAAGAAGTTTCCAACAAGGAAGGGATGAGGTGTCTGCTCTCGCAGTGACCCACTGTTTTGTCTAGGCAGCACCAATAACACTGTTGGACTTGTACGCTAATTTCTAAACCCTGTTCCGAATTTCCAGCTTCACCATCTATCCAGAGGGAAAAGACAAAAAAGGTGAAGGCTGCCTAAACAAGATTTTTCGTTCTTTTCGTATTCAAAACAATTCTTTTTAACGATTAATAAAATGGATAGGGATGGTCTGTGCTGGTCTCTTCGGCTTCGGGTCTACCCCAGGCAGTTGGCTTTTTCATAGAATTATGACGACGATTACACTTACACTATTACTTACTTAGCCATTGTCGATGTGCAAATAGGTTCCTTCGATCTTTTCCAATACCATCTGAGCTGGAATATAGACAGGTCAGATTCATATCATCAGAAGTAGAGCGTATAGATCTCAGGACTTCGATCAACACAGATCTCAGGACTTCGATCAACACCTACTAAGTTCAATCGTATCGGACTTGGACAAAAATCGATTTGATGTTTTTTTTTTCAACGATATCCCTTATGTTTTAGCGGAACAAAACGGAAAAATCACGGCGAACTCACAGTTTCTTGTGATGAAGTGGATGATGGTGCGAAAGAGAACGTCAGATTCCATTTAAGTGCGAAAAAACTGGACAAGAAAGATTTCTTTGGAAAATCTGATCCATTCTTGAATATCTATCGGATAGATGACGGTGGAAAGTGAGTTGTAATAAATTGTTTCCTGATTGCGACAATAGAACTTTCAATTTTCAGTCGCCAGTTAGCTCATCGAACAGAAGCTATCAAGAGAGAGTTGAATCCGGTTTGGAATCCATTTGAAGTGAATGTGAAGATGCTATGCTCCAACGACTATAAACGGTATTTCAAATGTTCCCAGTTCTCGAATATGCTGGGTGAAGAGTGGGTAAAGAAGGGGGTTGGGTGAGAAGTGAATGTGAAAGGGAATTGAAAGTGTGAAAGAATTGACCTCTTTTATTTCAGACCAATCCTGATAGAATGCTTCGACTACGACTGGGATGGAGGGTAATTTTTTCTCTCGTTTTCATGTTTTATTCAACTTTTACTATTTCCATCTTTCTAAAAGAAATCTGGGAGACTCTCAGAAAATTCTGAACGTTTTTCAAGAAATTTTGAGCAACACTTGAAAATAATTGCAGCGATTTGATTTCTGATTTCGTTTGCATTAGAAAGTCTACAGATAACTCCGCCGCGACGCAACCGCGCGCGGCACATCTTGTTGAACAAGATCTGCGTGTGAAATGCTGCGTTTCTTCATCAGTTTTCTGTGTATCTCATTATCCCTCTACCATTTCCAAGAAACCTACTGGTCTTCAGTTTAAGCCATGACTTCATCGGTAACTGTCAAGTGAGTCTCAACCAACTCCTGTCGAATGAGGTGAAGACATTGCCGGTGAGTCCGTGCTAACCTTCTATTAATCAAAAACTAGATTCATCACATACTATTTCCTTCTTATCTACTTTTATTTACTTGTTTATTATTTACAATGTTTATGTTTATGTTTTTTTACAATGTTTATTATGTTTATTACTTTGTGAGTAAAAATTTCCTCAAAACCATTGAATGTCTTTCAAGT